CACCACTTCCCTACCTTGTTAAGCTCCATGCTGATGCGATTTCGCATACTGTTCAGCCAATGAAGAGAAAATAAATACACTACTTTAAGATCATTTGCATACAGAACGGGGTTCACCACACAAAAAAACATTCACGAATATTGTTGATAAAAACACAAAAGAGTAGATGGCCTAAGACAGCACCTTGTATGATACCGTTTCTGACAGGGGCAGCGTTTGACAAGGAAGAGATGACTTTAACCATTCGGCGTGGTCGGTTGAAGAAGGAATTAAACAAAGCAAGCAGAGGGGTTTGGACCTCGTAAGATGTGATTTTATCGATAAGAAGTTGGTTTTTAACTATGTCAAAGGCTTTAGGAATTTCAAAGTATAGCACTAAGATCAGATATCCTTGTTCACGTTGAGAAAAAATTAAATTAATGAAATCAAAATAACACGTCATGCAAGATCAATTTTTAGGAAGTTCATTTTGAGAATCACCAATGATTTTTTCAGCGGGCAAATAGTTGAAGAGTTCGTCACCAACAATTTTTTCCGTAATCTCAAAGATAACTGGAGTAATATGTGTGGGCCGATAATTGTTCTTGTCAGTTTTATCTCCATGTATAGTTGAATTCAGGAGTCGATTTAAGCTAGACCACCTGGATCCAGGACCTTAAATAATTTAATTATTCTACCCTTATTTCGTTTATTCAATTATTCTATTTATAGTTTCAATTTTTTGTTCGTATTATAAATGAAACTTTCTTAAGCATTTACATTTTCATTATTTACATTAGTCTCTGAATAAAAGAATATTTCCTAATAGTTTTCGTTTTGTAAGCAACACTTGAAGTTGTCTGATATTTCCAACTATCTAATGTTTGTCAATTATAATGTAATGTTCTTTCACGAATCGTCAAATCTAAGACAAAGAAGATGACTCCAGAAAAATAGAATAATCATTTTCTGAGACAAGGTTTATAAACTAAGTTGTTTTTTTTTCCTATTTGTGACTGGTCAACTGAATGTGCCTATACTCTTATGTGTTCATATTCACAGGAGAACTCATACCCAATACCCTTAGCTTCAACTGATTATTACGTCATCCCATCCAACTATGAACTCCAGAGAGATAAAAACATGATCTATCTATAGATATGATGTTGACATCAATTTCAGAATGGTTTCAAATTAACCCATCAATAAAACTAATGGAATATATATATCTCTCTTGATAAAAAGATTTGTTTCGGCCTCGTAAATATAAAATTGAATCATCATTAGTTATGTTTACATTAACAAAATAAAGTTCATTCTATCTATCAAACTAAAGATAGCCATCATGTTAGAATGAAAAATATGGATAAATTCTGAATATCGAAATTAATATTCTCATAATAAACTAGTTAAAGATCTCTCAACATATATTTTTCCAGATGGGTTTTATGGATATTATAGTAATTTTATTGGTTAAGCTCATGAGTCAGTTGAAGCTAGACCACCATGGAAAAAGTGGGAGCGCTAGAAGGCCGTTTCGTGCTAGTATGGGACTCCTCAGCAGTGCACATCCAAGATCCGGCCTCCCCCGAGATTCAAACCCAGGACCTATCAGTCTCACGCGCGAGCACTCGACCACTAGACCACTGAGCCAGCGGGGAGCGGGATCATGGGGGCGCACTGCTTAGGAGTCCCATACTAGGACGAAACGGCTGTTTAGTGCTTCCACGTTTTTCTTGGTGATCTAGCTTCAATTTCCAGTTTTGTCTTTTTTTTTTACAGAAATACGCTATCCTTAGTTTGCCAATTCTTACCTTTACGTCTGCATCTGATCCTTCACGTTCATCGATGATGCTACTCAAATACTTGAATGTTTCCACATTTTTCAGAGTTTCTCCATCAGTTGTGATTGAGTTATTGATTAATATACTGCTGTCAAAAGTTTGATTGGTTTATATTAATAACGACTATCAATCATTTGCTTTTCTCATTTTTGAATGACTAAACTTTATTATTGGTGAAGTTCATAATTCATTGGTTACCATTTTATTGATCCATTCAACATTTATTCAAAATAAAATGTTAGTGGAATAAATTAATTGAATGTGACAAAAATAATTTTCTTGTTTTTTTTCTTTTTCTTTTCTTTTCAAAAATTGATATTTTAATGTAACTGATCTTCTACAACAATAGATCATTCAAAACAAATCTAAATTTAATTTGAAATGAGTATTATGTTAAGTCAAAATAATCATTTGTGTATTGACATAATAAAAAGATTTATTTATTCTTTTCATTAAACTATAGTAATCTGATATTCTTTAATTCATAAGGGATTAGTTAGTAAACTCGTGTGATTCTCAAGTTAAACAAAATTCAAAACTTATTAAATATGAATGTCAAATAAAACTTTATATGAACAATAGAAACTCTGTTTAGTGATTAAATTCATGTTACATTCATATTCTGTGGAGTCAAAAACCTGATGAACAAATATATGTAAATGAACTTGTGTATACTATTTTTTTTTATCAGTGTTCTTATTTAGTAGCTAGCGAAATATGTAATGGATTGACTGACCTAGATTCCGTGCTATTTTGCACTATTCAGAAAGATGTGACTGTAATGTGACTGACTGTGAAACTAGGTGACATAATATTAAATCCGGCAGGACGCAACAGGTTAACAGGATCGAGGTCCAACTTACTGATAAATGCCAACTTACATGAAATTTAGCTCAAGCAGAGATTTCTCTTTACTACCTTCTAGTACCATCCTAAATATCAACAAAATTCAATCTAATTGCAGTTAATTAGGCTAATAGCCGAATCATAACATAAATAAAAGAATTCGATCAACATTAAAGAAGGACTTAACATCTGGAGTTCGCAGATGATCTGACTCTTCAGTTCCACATGAAACAACATATGTAGGAGAAGACAACCAGTCTACCAGTAGCCTCAACAGCAGTAGGTCTCAACATACACAATGAGAAAAGCATGATTCTCCGATACAACACAACATGCAACAACCGAATCACAGTTGATGGAGAAGATTTGCAACATGTAAACATTTCTACATATCTCAGCAGCATCATTGATAAATACGGTGAATCTGATGCAGATGTGAATGTGCAGATCTGCAAAGCAAGAGCAGTATATCTACAACTGAATATTATCTGCAACTCAAAACAACTGTCTGTCAACTGCAAACACCAAAGTCAGAATTCTCAATACAAATATCAAGACAAATCTACTGTATGGAGAGGGAAATAGGAGAACTACGAAAGCCATCATCTAGAAAATACAAATGTTTATTGATAGCCATCTACACAAAATACTTCGGATCCGTTGGTCAGACACTATTATCAACAACTTACTGTGGGAGAGAACAAACTGGATTTCATCTAAGGAATAAATCAGGAAGAAGCACTGTAAGTGGGTAGGATACATATTGAGGTAAACACCAAACTGCTTACCAAGAAATGCTCTTACTTGTAATCCTCAAGGTCAAAGGAGAAGCGGAAGACCAAAGAACACATTCTGCCGAGAACTGGTCGGCGAACTATCCTCCATTGGGAGTAACAGGCTTAAGTATGAAATATATATGACTGAGTTCTGCAATATGCAATCTAGATTAAGTGAATGAATGATAATATTTAGCCTAGGAAATCAATTTTGTTCTATAAGTATAATAGGTTATTTTAAGGTGGAGCTATAAAATGTTGACGAATATTATAGTTTACACTAAAAAGTACTTTTATTTACCATTAAATTCAGTCAGAGGTAATATTAAACACTGACTTCATATTTACATTATTTTTAATTTATATTCATTATAAATCTAAAGTGGATTAATAATGTAACTAAGATTTATTAAAAAATTACTTTTTGAAATTTACAATATATTTTAAGTAAACATGGATAGTTGCTTGCAATGGAATCCAGGATGCGCTTCTCGACCTATTTTGCACTCATCAGCTGGAGTTACCTGCATTCCAGAATTGATGTTCATTTCGGTACTCGAACCCAGTATCTTTTGAAGCTAGTTACTATCCATCTTTGCTTAAAAAGCTTGTGATTTAAGACTATATCGAGGCGATCCACACAAGATGAACATATGCCAACAAGAAACCGATCAATTGCAGTCCTAAATAACAATGGAAATTAAACAACACCAAGGTTGCTAGGTACCTGTGTGGTTGGATGGTGAATGCTGGTGAGTGGCCTAAGTTCCTTCATGAGGAGTAACAGGCTTAAGTAAGTAAGTAAGAAAATTTAAAATACATTTCGTTTTTCTAGTGAATTTCGAATTTTAACATTGAAAATACTGTTTGACAAGAACAATTTTTTTTCTTTTATTTTAATTGTTATAGGACATTGAAATGTTTTCTTTTGGACAAAGAAGCATTACAAAGGTTATTATAGTATGCCAAATTACTCTATAGAACTAGCAAATAAACATAAGAATAATGATAGATTTCACTCAAATATGTACATATCTAGGTGTAGATTTCTCGATCTTTTAAATAAGGTCATAATAGGTGAATTGATTATGTAATTGAGAAACAGCTAAGAAATTCACTTTAAGAAGGCTAAAGTAAATAGGTTTCCTCTCTCAAAACGTATAAACAGACTTTAGAACTTATTATTATTAATTTTAACTCAGAGGTGTACATAAAACATACGAATTAAACATCTTCAGTCTGAAGATATATATGTATATAGTTGACTTCATTATTATTGGTCAGATGACGCAATGTGGTGTAGTTTTTTTTACCAAGCCCAATAGACAACTAATATATATATATATATATATATATATATATATATATATATATATATATATAAACGTAGACAGGATCCTACCTACAAAAAACCAGTTATTTTCAATCTCCATACATATATGTATGTTGATATAATACTTAATAGCCAATCAAATGATTATATTAGTAGTTGCCTTATGATTGCCTAAAACTTTATTATAACATATTTATAATATTTTAAAATTATAAATGAAATATATTTTTGTAAATCACGTTAGTAACTAAACATAATCGAATATAATCTCTCTATTTATAATGATGAATCATTTTAAATTATTACTATTATTAATATTTTACAATACATTTCCATTCATTTTGAAGGTAAGTATTGTAGTAAATAGTTTTCAAAATTTCTTTTTCTCTTATGGATACTAAAAGGTTTCATTAGTAACCTGGGATGTACTTACTTACCTATTTATGCCCATTACTCCCAATGGAGCATAGGACGACGACCACCATTCTCCAACTCATTCTGTCATGGGTTTTCCTTTCCAGTTCTATCCAATTGTTGTTCATTTTTCTTGTGTCCATCTCCATTTTTCGCCGTAATCTGTTCTTTGGTTTTCCACTTTTTCTTTCACTTTGAGGATTCCATGTGAGGGTTTGCCTTGTGACACAGTTTCGTATTCTCCTCAATATGTGTCCTATCTACTTCCAGCTCTTCTTCTTGAAACCTGGGATTTATTGTATACAAATACATTTGTTTTTGGATCTGATCATTAAATAGAAATTAAAAGTTTTTAATAGTCTATAATCAATTAATCAATAGGAAGTAAACCTGAAAGTATCTATGGATATTTAGATTTTATTATTCATTCATTGAATGATTTTCAATGAATAACATCATTATTAGTTCACATTTTATACTAAAATAATTGAAGTGTTGTACCGTGACCTTGGAGTAAAATTGAAAAAAATATGTGATATATTTATTATTGTTATCTTAAAATACTTTACATTTTCCCATAGCAAATTATTAGTGAATTATCATTATAGGAACTTCACCTAGAGCCTTCTTGGGGATACTGCCGAACCCAAGGCTAAATAAATGAGGAGGGTTGGTCATGCGGTTAGCGACCCACCACGTCGAAAACTAACTCACTGAAGAAAACACCAACCAGATAAAATAATTCAAGGCATTTAAACTCTGCCCTGGGAGTTAGAATATCTTCATTTAGAAGAGTTATGACGCCTCATTGTGAAAGCTGAGTTCCTTTGGAAGTCATGTGGCTGACAACCGGAACAACCATTAATTTAGGTATATAGAATGCTCGTACAATTTGGGAGACCAGGAGTCTTCTTCAAATTGCTGCAGAATCAGTATAGAGATTTGTGGGTGTTGTAGTATTTTCACAGTTGAATTTATGAGTCGATCTAAAGTAGAGCACCATTGAAAACCTAGAAGCACTAGACGACTGTTTCGTTTTTTTGAGTTATTTTAAAAAAAAACATATATAGTGCTATTTGAGATGTTAAGTGTGAGTTGAGTGATTTTGTTCCTAATGAAAATATAAACTAAAGTAAGGTACCATGTTTGGTTCTTATTAAATACTAGTTAAGGATTACAGCATAGATAAACTTATTTCCATTTTATATCATACGTTATAGGAAACTTTACAATTGGATGTATTATTATTTATGAGATTTCGTGTTAAACAATGCAGTTTAACACTGGAGAGCTTACCGAGATTTGGTTGAGATGACTTACATTCCTGATGAAACATATATATGTCAAATGGTTGCAAAAGTTAGGTGATTTAGGTACTTTTTATACTCTGTCATTTACATAACAGTAAATAATGATTAATAATATTACTGCTCTATGTTATAAAGTTTATAAACCTTCGGAAACTCGGAAGCAGTGTGACATAATTTCTAAATTGACTGTGTTATAAATTATCACAATTTGGTACTTGGAAAATGAAAGCTAATCAAAAATCTATATGATATTTGAAAAAAAAACTTTTAATATTTATCAAGTTCAATTGTGTATCTAAGAGATATGGAATTCAGAGACTTCGTTTGAATCAAATTGCTAGTAAATATGATGCCTCGTGAGTATGCTGCAGTATGACACAGTTGAGAACTTTATCTGTGTAGGTTGGCTTCCGATACATTAGGTTCATATGATCAATATGTAAGAATGAGGAATGTTCAATCAACACTTATTCCTTATCTGAATGAACACAAATCTAGATGTCAAACACCATGAAGTATTCTAGCTCATATAAATGTACCCTGAAGATTTTAAACACAAAATCTGCTAAAAAATGCCGTAACACTGTCAAAATGCATATTAAATATCAACCTGCAAGAAAGTATACATAGATTCACTTGATGGTGCTTACTTGTACTTTCCTCAGACAATCTATTCTAATGAAGAATATGGCTGATTGTTTTTTTATATACTTGTACAAACATAATTTACGGAAAGGTTAATTTCATTTTAGGATACCTAAATTAAAATTAAATCAACTAATAGCTGTATAATGTAATTTGGAAATGTTTGACCCCATCATTGATATTTAGTAAAGTACACCATGTGAAAACTTCTTTATGATATGTTTATTATGTCAAATTATTTCAATACATAACTGATAATATCAAAAGCATAATACGATTAAAGCCTATTTAATTATTGTACTTTGATGAAGAAATACCTTTTGGATAGTTTCATTTTCTGTAACAATAAAATGAAAATAGTACAATATTATATGTTCATAAACACTATATAATAGGATGTGTAAACTTTTAATACAGAAATGTAAAACTTCATCGAATAATTAACCAGTGTACCAGTAGCCTCAACAGCAGTAGGTCTCAACATACACAATGAGAAAAGTATGATTCTTCGATACAACAAAACATGCAATAACCGAATCACAGTTGATGGAGAACATTTACAAGATGTAAACATTTCTACATATTTCACAAGTTGAAGTCATGAGTCAGTTGAAGCTAGACCACCATTGAAAACCTGGTGGTCTAGCTTCAACTGACTCATGATTTCAACTTGTGAAATTTCTAAAATCTCCACAAAAACCCATTCTGATAATTTCTACATATCTCAGCAGCATCATTGATAAACACGATGAATCTGATGCAGATGTGAATTCACAGTTCGGCAGAGCAAGAGCAGCATATTTGCAAATGAAGATTATCTGCAACTCAAAACAATTGTCTGTCAACTGCCAACACCAAAGTCAGAATTCTCAATACAAGTATCAAGACAGTTCTACTGTATGGAGAGGGAAATAGGAGAACTACGAAAAGCATCATCCAGAAAATACAAATGTTTCTTGATAGCTGTCTATACAAAATACTTCGGATCGGTTGGTTAGACACTTTCATCAACAACTTACTATGGGAGAGAACAAACTGGATTCCATCTAAGGAATAAATCAGGAAGAAGCACTGTAAGTGGATAGGAAATATATTGAGGAAAACAGCAAACTGCTTACCAAGAAAAGCCCTCACTTTGAGTCCTCAAGTTCAAAGAAGAAGAGGACGACCGAAAAACACATTACGTTGAGAAATGGAGACAGACATGAGAAGAATGAATAACAATTGGATAGAACTGGAAAGGAAGTCTCATGACAGAATGGGTTGGAGAATTGTGGTCAGCGTCTTATGCTCTATTAGGAGTAACAGGCATTCTTATGTAATTAAGTGTTATTAATAGAATATAAGATTTCTAATGTGATATTATCAGTTGATTAGATATTGATATTTATTTTGTCTGACCTAATTGAAATCACTTACCAATAGATTTAATTTGCTAAGGCATATTCATTATTCCGCCTAACCTTAAATTGACACTTCTTTATGAAGTATCTATATCTATATTCCAATTCTATTTGATCATCATTTCAGAATGTAAGTTGTTTACAAATTTCAAAGAAAAAGAAGGTAAATTTCATGAAGAAGTATTGATGTTGAAAGATATTCAATTACTTGTTATTAAAACCCCATGTAGTTTATTTTCCAAAAAAATCATTACATAACATTTTTTTGGCAAAATAAATCAATATTAATTGGTAATGTAAATAATAAAGGAAAATAAAATATTCATTTCACATTGTATTTTTCTTTTCTTTCAATTATTATTAGGAATATGATATGTCATAAAATTATGAAAAATTCTTTTTTCCTATAGAGTTTGTTTATTGTTTTATTTAATAGTTAGATTCATAAGGCAATTAAAATTAGACTGTCATCGGAAAACTTAGAAGTACTGGATGACTATTTCGTCCTGGTATGGAATTCCTCAGAAGTGCACAGCCACATTCTCATCACAAGAGATTCGAACCCAGGATCTATCAATTTCTCATGTGGTTCCTTTATCTGTAGACCACTGAACCGGTTGGCATTCTAAGATATTACTGTCTAATTTCAACTAATCCAGCCATCCAGTGCTTCCAAAGTTTTCTATTAACTTCAACTAACTCATAAATTCAACTATTAAATTGTTGCTGATCGTGTCTGACCAACCGATCCAAAGTATTTTGTGTAGACAGCTATTAATAAACACTTGTATTTTCTAGATGATGGCTTTCGTAGTTCTCCAAGTTTCTTCTCCATACAGTAGAACTGTCTTGATATTTGTATTGAGAATTCTGACTTTGGTGTTTACAGTTGACAGACAATTGTTTTGAGTTGCAGATAATCTTCAGTTGTAGAGATGCTACTTTTGCTTTGCCGATCTGCACATTCACATCTGCATCATATTCACCGTATTTATCGATGATGCTGCTGAGATATGTAGAAATGTTTACATCTTGCAAATCTTCTCCATCAACTGTGATTGGTTTGTCGCATGTTGTGTTGTATCGGAGAATCATGCTTTTCTCATTGTGTATGTTGAGACCTACTGCTACTGAGGTTACTGCTACACTGGTTAATTATTAGATGAAGTTTTACATTTCTTTATTAAAAGTTTACACATCCTATTAATTAATGTTTATGAGCATATCCGCAAAACCTTTCTCTAATTATTATCATATTAATCTACTATTTATCTGTCAATTTCTTATGCATTAAATGAATTACATTTTTGGATCCAAATTAAAATCATCGAAAAAACAAATAAACATCATTGTTTTTCACATTATAAAATATAAATTGATACTTGATTGATATGTCATTAGTCATATCTATTAACTTTATTCAATGTCTTTGATATGATATAAACTGAAAATTAATAATCTAAATACACAATTGAGATATTCATATAATCTGTTTATCATCATCTTTAAAATGTATTGAGAAACTGTTGTGTTGGAAAAGCAAAAACGGTGATCACTTATACTCTGAACATAGTTCATATCAAGTGAATACAAGAATATTGTATATTATACAGAAGAGAATATCATACTGGGTAAACAATCAAATACTACACTAAATGATCCTCATGTTGAATCAAAACGGATGTCAATGTTGAATAAAACTCAAAATCAGTAATTCAATAGAAAATTGACTTTTCTTTCCATCATATCAAGCAATAATTAATCTATTGGGTATAACTCGGATCCTAACAGAAACAAGCTATGATAACCTAGAATTATATTTAACTTGCAAACTATAGAAATGAAATAATATTTTAATACTGATAGGGTTAGACATTAAAACGAGATGAAGCTTGTCATTTTAAAATTTACTGAATGTTACATTATAACATTCTACTTACAATGATACTGATTTATAACGGGTATTAGAAATTTCTCTATATGTAAATGAGCATTAAATAATAGATGATTGAATAGTTTAGAAATATGGCTTGCAGTCATTTTAATATAAACAAACTATATATTTAGGTTTTGTAATGCTTTCATTGACTTGCTCGTAGTTAAAACATGTAGCATTTGTGTTTGTGTAATATTTAGCTTGACTTGACTTGTGTCTGTTACCACTCGTAGAGGAGCATAGGTCAATCATTATTATTCTCTATCCAGCTGTGTCTTAAATAATCCTTTCTAGTTTTTATTCATCCTTTTCATGTCTGTTTCCAATTCCCGACATCGTGTATTTTCTGGTATTCCTCTTTTCAGTTTCCCTTCACGATTCCAAGTTAGGGCTTGCATCGTGATGCATTTTGACGATTTCCTCAATATATGTCCCATCAAATTCCAACGTCTTTTCCTCTTTAGTTGTAAGTTAGTTTTCCCTCTCCCACAGTAGGCTGCTGCTGATGGTATCCGACCAACGGATATTGTGTATGTTGAGTAGACAGCTATTCACAAATACTTCTACCTTTTTAATGATGGTTGTAGTAGTTCTTGAAGTTTCAGCTTCATCCAGTAGAGCTGTCTTAACGTTCACATTGTTATGTTACCATAATACACAATGGTTCTAAAATAAAAAATTATTTTGTTTTGGTGCAATCTTGATAACCGTTAAAACAAATTTTTTTAATACCTTATAGAGTACGAATCAATGTACACCAAATAAGGACTTGACACACATGACATTGATTACATCTCAGTCCTACAGGAGGTCAGTCGTGGCCCGGATAGCTCAGTGGTAACGTCACTGACTGTGAAGCTGGGTGACACGAGACCGAACCCGCCAGGGAGCACCAGTTCCCTCAAGATTACAGATACACCTTACTGACGAGTACCAAATAGCACGGAACCCAGGTCCAGGGTTTCCTGGCGACTACCTCCAACCACCATCTACTTTCCAATATATATTTATCATTAGGTTTTACAAAGCATAAAGTTTTTGCTAATCATAATTCGTTTGTGTTACGGACTATATATATATATGTAATATGTCAATCAAATAATGTATTATACAATTAAAGTAATAGTCTTTTTATTCTGTTAATGAAGTATGATTTAATATAGTACCAATTAAATGCTATTAAGGTGTGACTGAATGCAACTGAATAAATTGTATTTTATTCTTAAATATAACACAACCATTTAAATTAACTCATATTAAAATAATCCATTGGGTGATTGAATAAGAAATAGAGAATTTAGTGAAGAAACTTTTCTTTCCGACGAAATCATTTTTACTTCAGTTGTACATTCATATATTTATAGTTATATAGATAATATATGTCTATGAAAGGATAGAAAAGATTGCTATCAGAAGGGGTTTTGTGGAGATTGTAGTAAGTTCAACAGTTGAGATCATGGTGGTCTAGTTTCAATTGACTCATGATCTCAACTGTAGAAAAGATTGCACCATTAATTGATTTAAGACTAAATATCAAAATGAAGTTACACAATAATCAATTGGTAAGGAAGAATTATAAAGATGACAATAATATAATATTCAAAAAAAGAATCTAAATTCTTCAATGATATTTAATAATGATTTCAATTTATAGACCAATGGAAATTCAACAAAAACATTATCCATTTAAAAATCATTTAAATTGAGCATTTATCGACAGATCGACAATTTGAAAATCTCTATGATCAGTTGAACCCTCTTGTCATAACCAGCCTAGATCAGAAAAATCATTTAGTTTTACTGGAACATATAGTATGTTAATTTTAGTGATCTACTCAATTATCATTAATATTAGTACTCATCAATAATCAATATCTTTAGTCTCTAAGGAATTAATTCAAATAATCAAAAACAAAAATAATACATAATTTTCTACTATAAACTATAGTACAGTACTAGGTTACTCATCCTAACAATATCTTTACGTTATCTCAACTAATTACAATATCTATTTCATGTATGGTGAAAATAATTTTTTTTTGATTGAGATACCTGTTTTCAGCACATACGGATTAGCTCCACTGGTCACGGGATCGTGCGTACTGCTGAGAAGTCCCATAATAGAATGAAACGACCTTCCAGTGCTCCCAGGTTTCTAACGGTGATCTAACATCAATCGGTTCATGATCTGAATCAAAAACTTGATTATCTTCACAACCCCTATACTGAAAATAAATCTATCAGAATTTTATTTCACTTCAGTTATGTGAAAATTATTTATTTTATCATTCAAAGAATAACAAATAATAATAGTAATAGTAATGAATAAATCAACATTCAATCAATTTCATTAAGTTCTATATGTAGTTAATAATATTTACACAGATGGAAAGATGTTTTTACAAATAAGTTTATCTTTGTACAATATGTGAATATGTTTATCCTTTATTGATTACTTCATGTATACAAGGAAAAACAGTTTTATTAGGTACCATTACGAAAGTTTGAATAAATTGAGCATTGGGTAAATTGTTATGAATAAATTCATAGATTTGTAGTACTCCAATGAGTAGAAAAATTAGATTTTCTGACATTTTGTGACTTAGTGCAAGCTACTTCTTCAGAGAATAAATAACCAAATCAACAATAATCCAAGTTTAAATGGAACAACGGAAACGATTAATGTCATGTCATTTCGGTCAAGGTGATTCATAAGCGAAATGTATGTGAATCGGTGTGTATGTATGTGTGCGCTGTTAAGGATAAAAATTGTGTGACCTTCATGGTCAGAAAGGATAATAATTTGAATTGTGAATAACATCAGAGCAGGTGGCTAGGATAGATAGTTATTGTTTTGTTATTATTCCGTAGTATTATTTAAACTTGGATAAGTTTTAATTTTCAGAACGTGTTTTGTGGAGATTTTAGTCATTTTGGTCATTTTAATGGTTGAGTCAATTGAAGCTAGATCACCAGTGGTGTTCTACCGGGTCTGTTGTGGGATAGTAACACACTGACTATGTGTGTCACTCAATTTCATGGATTGGTTGAAGTTAGATATTAACACCGCTGGATGACGGCTCAGTTGTCTAGTGCTTAAGCGCTCGTATGCGAGACTGACGAAACGGCCGTTCAATACTCATAGGTTTTTCATGATAGTCTAGCTTCAATTGACTCATGATTTCAACTATTGAAAGTTTTGATTTAATTATTTATTCTTCGTAAGAAGTGGCTTACAAAAAGTCATGAAACGTTAGAAAATCTAATTTACTCTACTCATTGAGATATTACAAATATATAAATTACTTAAGACAGTTTTCTTATATGTGAAAAATTAAGTTTGAAATGATCTCAGTGATTGAAATTTAAATAATAACTCCAACGTTACATCCAGCTAACTTGTCTGAACTTCTTCAGGGTAATAATCCAAATCATCTAAGAAATATAAAGCTTTTTATTTCTGGTGGAGCTTTATTCTCTGAGCTGAATGGTTTGGTTGTTGATCTATGGTCGTTCTCGCGAACAACATCATCAGCACAAATATCAAGTAGAAATGAAGTGTTCGAATTCCTCCACATGTGGCTCACAGCATGTTCGGTACACCTCGATGTTGATTGGTTCTTGTTGACTTATCATTGTTTACTTCTTTGTTTTGGTTGTATCTCCCATCAACATTAAGGTGTACATGAAAAGCTGTAAACCACATGTGGAGAATTTCAAACACTTCACTTCTACTTGAAATTTGTGCTGATGATGTTGTTCAGAAGAACGATGAAAACTTCAAGATCAAACCATCCAGCTCAGAGGACAAAACTCCATCAAAAGCATCCATCTGAGCTACAAATCCTCTCCACCATCTCAATCTTTTTAACAATCATAACTATACTGTGTGTGCCAAAAAAAAGAGATGAAAATTATGGTTAATGATGAAATAATCATTGAAATTATGTATGAATAATTTAGTGTTAATGCAAAAAAAAAGAAAAAAAAGTAAACGAAGAAAACAATCTTTTTCATAGAAAAAAAATTTATTAAACGAAATGATTATTGTAAATCATGTAATAGTTTTTGCACTTTATAAATCAATTCAGTTCCTTTGTAACTAAGTATGTTTTTTTTGTAAAAAAAAAGAGAAAAAAAAGAATAATCATTATACATTTTTGTTTTTTTTCTCATAATTTTTTTCTTTTTATTTAGGTATATTCAATAAAAACGATGATAAATAAATGAATTACTAACCTTCCTATCTTAGTTTATTCCTTTTTTGAAAGACAATTTTGACCTTATTTACTTACATTCAATGATAAGTTCATTCATCTAAATTTTTTTCTATGATATTTTCATCAATTATTATTTTTTCTTTTTTTTTTTAATTTTTCTTTAATTTTTAGGTAAATTCAAAAGTTTAACTTGTCAGGTAGATAAATAAAAACAAACAAACGAAAGAAACGTTTTCCCAAGGAATGAAATAAATAAAAGAGAATACTTTCAGTAATAATAATAATAAACGTAAGTTATTTAATAAATAGTAACAAGAATAATAATAATAATCACTTTTTAATTAAATCATATGAAATAGGTCAAAATAAATGGATACATTATTGAAATATTATAGATAGTTCAATGTATAGGTTAACATTTTAGTAGTATGATTTATGCTTGAATATCATTATAATTATTAAGGTGAATGTATTCCAGTATATATAAATTTATATAATCTATGGTACTTACAATTGCCTTAGTGATTAAATACAACATTTCTATAGTCGATTTATCTTCAAACCATTTGATGAAGATTATTCTTTTTTTTGCTACTGTTGAAATATTTAATATTAAATAATATTCCTTACTTACTTAATTACTTACACCTGTTACTCCAAATGGAACATAGGCCGCCAACCAGTATTCTCCAACCCACTCTGTCCTGGTCCTTCTTTTCTAATTCCATCCAATTCTTGTTCATTCTTCTCATGTCTATCTCCATTTCTCGGTGTAATGTGTTCTTTGGTCTTTCTCTTTTCCTTTGGCTTTGAGGATCCTATATGAGGGCTTGTCTTGTGACGCAGTTGGGTACTTTCTTCAATATGTGTCCTATCCACTTCCAGCACTTCTTCCTGATTTCTTCCTCCGTCAGAATTTGGTTTGTTCCCTCCCACCGTAGGTCTTGATGATAGTGTCTGACTAACGGATTCGAAATATTTTGCGTAGACAACTTTTAATAAACACCTGTATCTCCTGGATGATGGCTTTCGCAGTTCTTCAAGTTTCCTTCTCATACATTAGAACTGTCTTGATATTTGTATTGAAAATTCCGACTTTGGTGTTGGCAGTTGACAGTTGTTTTGAGTTTCAGAAAGAAAAAAAAAGAAACTTAACATTATTACTTAAATAATGTTCAGAAACCTATGTTGGATATAAATATAAGTGTAAATCAATAATTATGACATCATTAGCAGGATATACAACTTATTTGAAGTTAAAATTAGATATAAATTATGAAGTGTATTACATTTGAAACTACTACTGTCTCTATTTCTACATTTATTCATTTTCTCAAACTGTTAAATGTCAAAATATAATATTTTAAGTTATTATTATCATTATACCACCCAACTAATAATATTTCTCTTTGAAATATATTCTATAATACCATCAAAACAATCTATTCTTAATGTTTTGTATCCAATTCACTAATCTAATGGTTCTATCTACCGTTACTTCACTTCATGTGAACCACATCAAAAAAAAAGGAACAAAACTAAATAAATATGTTGTATTATTTGGTTGTCGTTTTCTATTGCTTCCCAAAACGTAATTGTATGCATAAATCAAAGAATCTTTATGTTTTATAATAAAACAATAGACATTTTTATCTATGAAAAATGAATTGTTTCAATGATTGTTTCTTGTGACAGGAAATGTCATATATATATACCCATATATATATATATCACCCAAGTAGGTCATTAGATTTATGACAGAAAAATAGAAAATTCATTTCAGTTACTTATTGAATGATAAATTGTATTTATTATTATGACTGTATTTTTGTTGTTATAAGTTTACTTGTTGTAATCAGTCTATAATGTAAATCACTAATAACTAACTAGTTAATTATCAAAAGAGATTTTATGAAGATTTTTAGTAATTTCAATAGTTGAAATCATGAGGAGTTCCATACTAGGATGAAATGGCCATACAGTACTCTTAGGTTTTCCATTCGTAGTATAACTAGTTAATGTTAGAAAACAGAGAAGGTTATCAAATGAATCGTGATAAACACAATCAATATATATATATATACGAACTCAACTATGATATTTTTCGTAATCAAATTTGTGGTGATTTCTATAGTCAACCATTCTTTTAACGATGGATATGATAAATGTTTTTATCTAATATATATGGGCTATATTTTGTAAGTATTTTAAAGGTTTTATACATTTATTTGTTTAACTAATCAAGTTCATTATATTATCTTTCAATGAAAACAGGTTTTATGGTTAAATTTATGATTTATTTGCCCCTTTAATATAATAATCCCTTTTGTCAAAAATGTCTTTTATGTCTGAATTGATATTGAATAATGTCTTCCAAATTACTAATAGTTAACTGTTCTAGCGAATCATATATTGTAGCTATGTTTTCCTGGATTTCTGGTACAAAGCCGTAACCAGTGGAGTTCAATTGGGTCGGTTGTGAGATAGTAAATCACTGAAGAAAATGGTGGATAGTAGTGCAATTTCGTGAATTAGTTGAAATGAGACATTAACACCGTTGAATACTAGCCAGCTCAGTGATCTAGAGGTTAAGCGTTCATGCGCGAGACTGATAGGTCCTTGGTTGGAATCTCACGAGTCAAGATCATGGATGTGCACTGCTTAGGAGTCCCATACTAGGACGAAATAACCATCCAGTACTTCTAAATTTTCCATGGTGGTCTAACTTCAATAGAATCATAAATTCAACTATAAAACTCCTAATGTCTTTTATCTTAGAAAAATAGTTGTGTTGTGAAACATTGTCACAAATCAAAATGTGCTGGAAACAATTCAAATTACTTTCTTTTTAAAAGTAGTTTTTTTGTAACGAAACTTACTTGTTTGAAATGTCATAATCACTCTGTAATGAGATAACCGTATATCAATAATTTATACAGTAGGAAATATAAACCGTTAGTACTCCCATGATTTACATTATCTGATAATTATGTTTCATATCAATGGGTAACACATGAATCTTATACAATTTTAATATGCCTGATATTTTAGTCGTCTTAATGTATTAATAACACAGAAACAATTAGACTAGTCTGGTCATCTTTATTGATACTAAAATATGCACACAAAAAAACATTTGTGACTTAATCGACGCAAGCAGTGGCATTTAAAATTATATAACGATTTATCAGAAGGTCAACTAAATATTTTTTCTGGATTCAAGATGATTTAGAATCGTTCAACTTAGATCTTGACGCTTGATTGTAAATTAAGTAGTGTAATATAACTCCCTTAGCCAAAAAAATGAAGATATAAATGCAAATCTTTTAACATTTGACATTCTAAATAGAATTTTGTTATGAAATAAATGTTACCCATGTTTTAGATATATAACCAGTTATAGTAGCTATTATAACTTGTGAACCTATGTGCCCTGTATATTGGATAACGCAACGATACCGCCGATCAAAGAGTAGAGAACTATCGATCGGACCAGTGACACATAAAATACGTGCGAGCAGCCTAGAGTCGTGATTTGGTCTCGCTTCCCGCCTAGCCCAGTCAGTTAAGTCCAGAACATCAATCTAAGCCTCTGCTATATGAATCATGCATTTCAAACATACCAATCAAACAGATCACATCGTACCATAAAATAGAAAATAACATTTGTACAAGATTTAGCCAAATGTGGCTGTGAATGTGGGAGATAGTAATTGATAGACAGGCTATAACTCATGAATGTTAAATCGTATTATAATAGTCCTTAAGTCAAAATAAAACTCATAATAACAGGGACATGAATATGAACAGTTTAGTTACATAACAATTACACGATAAAAATATACGTATAGTATTGATCCATAAGCGGATCCCAAAAATTACCATTCACTATTCTTATTGGGATATAACAGTAGCGATATAGTTCTCTTTTTATAAGCAACAGATATATTTTTCATTCAATATACCATATCTATATATTTTATTGAAATAAATGTCATTATTTACTCTTTGGGAAAAAACGTTACTATGGTTACATGATAATTTATTCATTGTTTGAGGGCAACTAGATATTGTATCTTTTTTTTACGATATTATATTATAAACAGTTATTCTATTACTGTTTAAATCAACTTACCAATCATATACTGGTTTAAAACGAGTATTCAGTCTTAAGGTAATAACTTGTATATAAAATTTCTTATTTCTATGTTAAAATGTTTATTGGTTGGTAATAATTAGTGCATACGCTAATAGTAGAATTCAAGTAAATAATCATTTGATTAAAGTTTAGTTCCTTTGAAAACAAATTTTGATCGTGTAATGATTAGAATACGTTGATCCGATCTATAGTGTTGAACATACTTGGTGAATGGATGTTATAACTTATGACCGGCGATTGGAGGGCAGCGAAATATCGATCGGATGAAGGACGCATAAAACACGTGCAAGCAATCTAGAGTCCTGATTGACCCTGCTTTCCGCTTAGCTCAGCCAGTTAAGTCCAGAACACCAGTCTCAGATTCTGCAATATGAATATTTTATTTCAAGCATACTCTATTTATATACCAATCAAACAAACCACAACGTACCAACAAAATATGAAACAATATTTGTACAAGAATTAGCCAGATGTGGCTGTGAATGAAGGAGGTAGTAATTAATATACTGGGTATAACTCAAGAATGGTAAAACATATAATAATAGCTTATGAGTCAAAATAAAGCTTATAATAAGAGGAACATGAATATGAATAGTTTGGTTACTTAATAATTATACGATAAAAATATATGTTTAGTATTGGTTCATAAAATGATTTCAAAGTTACCATTCATTATGTTTCTGGGTCCTAACAATGGACTACTAGACTAAATGAAGTCTAGTGACTCAGTAAAGACAGATGACAAACACTTATCTTCCTTTATTATTTAACTCGCAGTTAAAACAGTTCGTAAGATTTATTTTAACTCAGCCTATTTGGTTTTATCTCTAAATTGCCTTAGGCCAATACTTAGATTTACTGATGCTTTAATCAAATGAAAGTTCCAATTTCCCTAGTTATGTGTTAAACAACAATTTCTACCTACTTTAAGCATAGATAACCCAGAATTGTGTGATTCGTAGTTCCTTATCTCTATTTATTTTCTTATCTTTCAATTTGTTTAGTTCAATGACTACTTTTATATGTAAATACCTTACCTAGTAAACATATGATCAAATTACTTGCAATATAATAAGATGATTTATCAGATAATTCTGATATATTTCATTTTCTCGGTAAATAACTTAAAA